AGACCTCAGCTGTAGAGGTGGTCAGCAGCATCAACTTCCTGGGGGTGCACATCACAAACAACCTCACCTGGACTGTAAACACAAGCTCACTGGTCAAAAGGGCACTAAAGTGCTTGTTCTTCCACTTGGAAATGTCATGTTTTGAAATATTTTGTATACACCCAGTGTTTACAAAATGACAATAAAAGTAGTCTAAGACTAAGGAACAAAGGTATGCTAGAATAATCTAGCATAATCTGTATGCTAGAATAATCTGTTCGAAATAATCTGGCACTGATGACTGGTCTGAAGGCTTGTTAAATAGACACTAAAGCAGGTGAATCAGTTAAGCTGTAATGAGAACTGGGCGGAGCTAAGCAGGAGAGGGAAATTAGTTATCAGACCAGGCATCAGTGATGACATCATGACACAAATTAAAAAACAACGCCTCAAATCAGTAAGGACGTTTAACCCATGGTTAAAGGGTATGATCTGCCACCCCATAATTACTATCCTAATAGAGCTGGTAGTAAGGAAGGAGCAAGGATGAGTGAAGAGTATGCTTCCTCGTGCCAATTTATTAAGCATTGGGACCTCCTGGCGTTCCCAGCCACCACAAGATACTATATGATTGCCCAGAATCCTTTGACTGAGAGGAGGCTAGCCCAACTAATGGAGTTGGACAAAAATACATTATTTCTTCACGTGTACTGTGTGTGACAAATGTACACCCCTTAACCTGTTTTGGGTTTTTTATAATGTGGAGTCATTTGCTACCTTTTTGTAACTGTTTCGTAGTTCTTTTTCAAAAGGCTTATTATGGCAATTTAATCAGCACCAATAATGTGTTAATCTTGACATCTTTAAGACTGCAGGCTCCTCAGACTCATCGCAGCATTCTGCAGCTCTTTTCCTACTCTGGATAGCGTTCTTACTGTTGACCCAAAGGTGAAGGGAAAGGAGCTAGGAACAAGTGCTAGGAATTACAATTTAAGGTTTTTGGATCGAGCTAGTCAGGAATTGGATCCAAGGCTGGCAGCCAAGAGCAATGGATTTTTCTGCTCTTGCACACCCATTTTTGCACAGATTATTATTTTTTTTGGCTATTCCTTGTTGGATTTGTCCATACTTTTTTTCAGCATTGGTTTTGGGGGGAAATTTTATTGACTGGTTAAGACTGGAATATCAATGCAACGTTCATAAGCTGTATGTAACGCAATTTCGTTCTGTATGCACCCTGTGCATACAAAATGACAAATAAAGAAGTCTAAGTCTAAGTCTAAGTCTAAGATTTTAAATGTATTGTTTAAGAATTACTGTACAAATTTCATTGCATTTGCCCGCCGGGCAAGTGCAATGATAAAAAAAAATTATTTATCAATCAAAATTACTTTTAAATCATTGACATTCGCTTAAAAAAGGACCCACATGCGTTGCCGGCGCCATTTTTGTTGTTCTGTACACATTCTCGCGTGATTTGAAAAAGCCGCGAGATTTTCCGCCAGATGGCGTGATTTTTGTCCGGGAATTGGCGCGAATCGGACACACCCACCACCCAGATAACCCTAGATTAAAAATTATCAGTCAGGTATTAGGAAAATTGGCATAATTGTATGCCATGCGCACAGTGTAAATATGGCTATCTTAAGGCAGTCTTTTGTACAGTGATTCAGGTCATACATTAAAAAATTTTTATAAATTTTTTTTCTCTTAGAAATTGGAGAGGTGCATTTAAATGTTATAGAGCTAAACATGTTAATTTGGTGACCGGTTATGTTAGCAATATTGTCTTGTTGATGCATTTATTTTGTCAGGGAAAACTAATCCATAGTCAGTTAAAAGACAGGGAAATCTGAAATTATGTAAGACTGTGGAAACCCTGTATAAAATAACTATGTATAATGATTCTCTAGAAAAGTCACAATATATTAATAGTATCATCTTGTATAAACATACTGTGACTCTAAAAGAAAAGTTATTCATTTGTGACATTGACTTCTGTCTTGTGACTTATCTTACGTTTTTAACCTGTCAAGTTTTTTTTAGATTTTTAACATTACAATTTATATTTTTCCAAGCACACAACAGTTTAAAGCAAAGTTTAGTTTGAAAAGAATGTGCAGGAAGGATTGAAAAGCATGTTAACACGGTAATGTAGGCTTGAGTTCATTATCTGACGCATGCCTATACACACCAGGAACCTGTAGACTTTTTTTTTTTTTATTATAAAAAGTACAAAATATTGACAAAACATGAAATTAAACAGAATAATTACTCATAAATTTAATAAATTTAATATATACAGAAAACCAAGGAACAGTATTAATTAAAGACATAAAGAACAGAATTTCTGGAAAAAAAAAATACAAATATGGATTTTTAAGAATTGCAATAAAGAAACAGATCAAATCAAAGAGGTCAGTCAAAAACAAAGACTTCCAAAATAAACTTACAACCAAATTATTGAAAGTATCGCCAAAAGAAATTAAATTACTCAAAATTAATGATCAATTTATTGTCAGTTATGTGAATGAAAGAACTTCCTGAAACAAAAGCATTTTCAAAGTCAGAGGCAGACAGAAACTTATATAACATGAACAAATCTCGATTAACTAAATTTTTAAACAAACTAATAATGTTGACCTTTCTTTTCTCAAAATGCATAAAATTTCTAGCCAACCATATTGCCATCCTGGCATGACTCAACAAAAAATTAACAAAACTTTTATTTTTGAAATTTATATCAGTAATCGTGCCAAATAATAAAAGTATTTTCCAATCCAAGTGTTGTACATTTGTGCTCCAGTAGACTTAAAAAATACTGAATTACAAAAAACATTTAAAAAACAAACATGTTTCATTGATATATATTCAAAAATGAATATTAGGAACTGTATTTATTAAACATTATACTGGGCAAGTAAAAATTGTTTTTGGGCAAATGAAATGTGAAAGTCACTTGCCCTTTGGGCAAGTGGTAAACATCCTTAACATCAACCCCTGGACTGAACTGTCAAACCAGAGTTTTCAGTGCTGGGCGGTGCCTGCCCTACTCGGGCCGCTGCAGATTAATAGTTCCATCTCTGTGTCAATAATACTCCTTTTGAGTGATCGCTGTATGTTTCGCCTAAATTCTGGCGCCTACATTCTGAGCTATTATTACAGCCCGATGTCTCTGGTTTCATTGTCTTTTAAGTGCTCTTTTTCACTTGCTTGAGGATGATGAAAACATTTATTGTGCTGCTGCTGCTGCATATGAATGGTCCTGCATTGTGTGGCAGTAATGCAGACCTTCAGCTGTGGGGTTACAGTCACCAATTGATCTTCACTGCCTTTCAATCACACTGAATGACCAGCAAGGGGAAACATGTTGGTATTCTGAGCTTTAGGACTATTTTATCCCTCGCCCCCATCTGTACTTTCAAGATAGCAAACTGTCATGGCACTTTGCTAATTGGTAGCTAGACTTATTATAAACTAAGTTCTTACAAAAATGTATCTGATTAGTGGCGGAGGTAATAATACACCAATAACAACACATGTAAATGCAGTTATCAGTTTCAGGCAGTAGAAAGGATAAATTGATGCACAATGTTCCTTTAAACTCCAGACGAAGGAAAATGATAAGAAGGATCAACCTCCACATGGTCAATTTAATTAGATGTTTATCAGTTTATCATGGCTTATCATTTCAAAACTATATAGGGCACTGTTTAACCGTTTTACACAAGGGAACAGGCTCTACAGAGTTTGTCTTTGTTTTTTTCTACTCTGTGGATGGCTTCCTTCTTTTCCACCTCGACAGCGCCTGGCTGTGACTAAGGATTACATTTTAAAATAGCATAATCTGATAAACAATTCACCCGTTATTTTGATACCATCACTGAACTTTGAAATATTCTGTCATGGAATTGTAAAGTTGTGGTTCAGAACTTTTGTGTTTAAATGTTGTGCTATGACAAGTTTGTAAACTGTTAAAGTTACTTACTGCTCAAACTGAAACAAATATGAGATACCGGTACTTTGGAATTTATACTGGATGGACAATGGTAGAAAGTCAATTTATCAAACGCAACAATCCAAACTAGTAACACATTATTGAGCTTACCTCTTTGGAAAAATATATATAGGATAATAAGCAAAGAATAATCATAAGCAAAGAACTTCTGATTAACCTGATTTTTTTTTTTAAAGGGGATCTAACTGGTTCAAAAATTATCTTGAATCTAGACAATGGAACAGGAAAATTAGCTTTAATGAAACAAAACAAACCAAAATATTTTTAAAATGTAAGGAGTAGAAAGTAGATATAATTGCAAAAAAAAAAAAAAAAAAAACGTAAGGAGGAGAGGTAAAAATTTGTCTAATAAATAATTTCTTGAGTAAATTATAGAGAGCCAAAATTTCTACTTAAGTAAGGTATCAAAGTATTTGTACTTTGTTACTTGACATCTCTGATGGTAGCAATGAAGATTGTGATCTGGGCATGTGTTTTTATAAATTATTATTGTATCTCTGCTTCTGTCTCCTTGAATCCCAGTCAGTTTTCACAGCTGGTCACTCACACTGAGCCTGGTTCTGCTGGAGGTTTCTCCCTGTTAAAAGGGAGTTTTTCCTCTCTACTGTCGCTACAAGCATGCTTAGTGTGAGGGATTGCCTTCAATGAGTAGATGCAATCAACTAGTTTTCCTTAGATAGAAAACTTTAAATCAATTTGACTGTATGATCTGGTGAACTGTAAAGTGCCTTAAGATGACGTGTGTTGTGAATTGGCGCTATATAAATAAACTGAATTGAATTATTTAATCAGTTGTACCACCAGATATGAATTAATATAACAGCAGCAGCAGGTAAGACACATTTTTGTATAGCTTCACCAGTGTTCTTATTCTCTTTTCACAAGAGAGAATAATTCACAACCCTATCCAACTATAAAAAAAAAAAAAAAAAAAAAAAAAAAAAAAAAAACGAAGAATCTGCCTTTTTGATCCTCACGGCACCCCGTACTCGCCCAACGCTTCTCGCTCCGTGACGTATTAACGACTGGGTCATTCAGTTCTCACATCACCAATCTTTGGAAGAAAATAACATGTATCACACTACCAGATAGTTGTTTATAAATCAGCAACACGGTAGAACTACTATTGTTTTTATTTGGGCATCTGCAATTTGGACGAAAATGACCGATTTGACCGAATCGCTGCTTAAAGAAGGCTGGTAGGTAGCATGCTAGCTCATGTCGCTGCTAGCAGCAGCTATGCTGACATATGGGCTAGAAGCTGAATAAAATCTTTTGTTTTCTGTTTTTTTGTAACAACCCAATGGCAACCTATCTCTTACAAATAATTCCAACAATATGCTGCACGTGAGGTTATAATAAACTTAGTTTATGTCATTAACTTCTGAAGAGCAATGTACGCCGCTGCTAGGTTAGCTAACGCACGCCTAGCATTACAGACAACTGCTACTTAATGGACGATCTTGTTTATACGGTTATTGATTCGACAAAGGTAATCCTTTTGGTCGGTTGTTTCAAATATTTACATTAATGTGTAGTTAGCATTGGCATTGCTATGTTTTCTACAAGCGGTGGGATCCACTCTGCACCTGTGACATTTCGGCATTTACTTGTGAAGAATAGAAACCAAGTAAATCAACATTCCTTTCTAGTTCTTTTGTTTGTACATTCTAGATGTTCTTTTGCACGTTCAAAGGAGAATACTGTGGTTCGGATTATATCGCCACCTTTTTTTAGAATGTTGTTTAAAATGTAATCAAACATCATCTTGTTATTAATGTTTCCTTGTTTGGTTTGGTCTGTAATCTTTGGAATGTATTAGTTTAATTCAAAAGTTTTATTTTTCCCTAAGCTAGAGCAAAGTAGATTTTGACATACTGTCCCGAAGTATCTCTAAGAAACAAATATTATAAGAATATATTTTTGAATATAAATATGTAGCATAGTCTCCTTAAGGATTTTAATATTTTTCATAAAACTTTTTTTTTCTGAAAGCATTTTTATATTGACTGTTGTTGAACCATTTCAAACTAAAAACACCCAAAGACTAAACTTTTGGATACGGAGGAGGATTAGGGCCACTAAGGAAACTGAAATAAAAAAAAGATAACTGATTTTTAAATATTATTTCAGTTTAATATGAATGATGATGAATTCTGACTTTTTTTTCTCAGAATTCTGACTGTAATCTCAGAAGTTTGACTGTAATCTCAGATTTCTGGCTGTAATCTCAGATTTCTGGCTGTAATCTCAGAATTCTGACTTTTTTTCTTAGAATTCTGACTTTAATCTCAGAATTTTGGATCTTAATGTAGATGGGTACCATGAAGGAAGAGATGTGGGGGCACTCAGGTTCACTGACAAAGATGTGAGTTGTTTGAGAGGGCTAGTAGCACATTGGTAGAAAATGATGGAATTAGGCGACTTTTTACGTGCCCGAAGGGTCCCCGATGATGGAAGAGCAAAAACAAGAAAGCTTGTTTAGTCTCTAAAACAGAGGTGGCTACGGCTTGATGCTAATATTCTTGTTAGCTCTCAGTACTCAGTCAGAATTCTGAGATTAAAGTCAGAATTCTGACTTTTTTCTGCTTTTATACTGAAATAAAATGTAAAAATCAGTTAACTTTTTCTATTTTTTCAGCTGCCCTAATCCTCTTCCGCAGTTGGAATAGCTGTATGAGTCTATATTTGTTTCTTTTTCTGCATAAAATCAGATCAGTTGTACTTACTTTCTCATGGATCAAACTGCTTAAATCCTGTATCTTACCCATGTTTCTACCATATCTATCATACAGGCACTTCAGTGATGAAGGAATAGAAGAGCTAAAAGGATCGGCAGAGAAAGTAACACCCAGTGATATTATTCGCATTGCACTTGATGTGAGTTTTAATCTTCTAAGTTTACACAATCATTTTCTCAGTGTGCTAACATATTGTGTATTTGTTTTTTCTACCCAGTGGGGATACAAAATAGTTAAGAACCAAGTTGTTTTTTTTTAAAATGAGCAAAAAAAAAAAGCAAAACTGTGTCCTGAATCTTTAGTTTATTGTCTCTGTTAATGGCACATGACTTTAATGTTATTGTCAGTGTGGGACTATTATTGAAGGGTAACCACATTGGCTGTACATACCCTGGATGTAGAAAAGCACTTTGGTCTTACAGCATTTACCTTGAATAAATTAATATAATTCCAATTTATCCTGATATCTGGTAGTTTTTGTTTTCATGGTGTGAATCAAAATAGTAATTCAGCTGGTATAATAACTCCAATCCAATTGTATATTGGAAGCATGTTGTTTGTGGATGTTTAAGATACTTTGGTTACATAAATGCATTAAAAAAAACCCATTAGCACCCAGAAACTCAGGGTTGTTCTCCCACATGTACTCAAAAGGACAAAAGTTGTAGTCTGGAATTTTCATCTTTACTGCTAAAACCATGACCTTTACTGTTCAGCCTGGAGTGCTGTCAAAGGATCTAGGGCGCCACTTGCACACATTCCTGCTCAGCTGATTCACCCAGCCTCCTTTATTCTAATGCAGAGGTCTTCAACAGGGGGTCCGCGACCCCTAGGGGGTCCCCAGAGGTACTGCATGGGGGTCGCGAAAGTTTTGGTTTATTAGACTTTTTTTTTTTTTTATATTCACCCTGCAATTTTTTCCACTAATTGAACTGTCTTTAAATCCACATTAACATGAATTCAACACACTGTAGTAAACAGATAAATGGAGGCAGAAGATGTCTTTCAGTCATCAATGCCAGCGGCGGTTCTAAGCCAAATGTAGATGGGCCAGGATTCCATAATTTTGGAATTTTATATATTTTTTACTTAATTTAACTTAAAATTACATTTTTCTATAAAATCTGAATTAGAAAAAAAAAACACGATGCATTCAGGTTTAAAAATTAGAGGAATTTCTTTTGAAAAAAAGAAAACTGGGATCCAATCTCAATACGACACACAGGAGCTCTTTCAAGCTGGGCACCGTTTCATTCACAACACCTGACCCGTCAACCAGGAATCAGAATCAGAAATACTTTAATAATCCCAGGGAGAAATTACTTTAGTTACATTACTCCATCTGTAATAGAGTGACTATAGGACCAGGTTGATAGAACACTATTTCATACAATATATATTTAGGGGGTCCCCACTCCATCTCACCATAAGTTTGGGGGTCCTTGGCCTGGAAAACGTTGAAGACCCCTGCTCTAATGCATACCTGTCAGGTTTTGGATTTGGAAAAAAAAAGGGGGGGGATTTTACGACATCTGCTGCGATTTATCGAACTATCCCAGTCGAGCTCCATTATCCATTATATTTTAAGACTTGCACAAGAAATCTAACATAAACGCTTTCAACCATTTGCAAACTACAGTAAGATGATCAGATATTGACATTCGGTGCTATTTGACCAACCTGCTGCCTTTTCCTGTATATTGCTCTTCTCTCCTTCTCCATCCTCGCACCTGATTGGGGCTGCAACTAACAATTATTTTAAAAATCGATTAATCTTTCAATTTTTTTTCGATTAGTCGATTTATAATCGAAGAACCAAAGGATGCTTAAAGAAGATGTTATGAAAATAAACCAGGTGAAACTACAGCTTTTCCACTCGACTTCTGGATAGAGACTATTGACAGACAAAAACCATTTGTTTTATCTTAAATGCAAATGTTTAAAAATATTTTTTTACAATTTTTATATAACTCCTGCTCTAAAGTGAGCTCTGTTAGATATAGCGGCCTCAATACATTCTGGTCAGTATCAGAATGATGGCATACATTAATAAATGCAGTTTGGAAATAAACTATTTCAGACAGTTACACTAATCACAGCCATACCGCATACAAAAACAAATGAAACTTGAAAATTGTATTGTTTCCAAACTAAAGCAGCAAAACAACATCTAAAAACATGACAGCATTATTCATATTATAATTTTAATGGAAGTTATGAAAAAGGCTTGTTGTATCTGAAATAATATCTTTAACTGTCAGTGCTTGAAAAATAAAAACAACAAATAAAATAAGAACCTGGACTGAAAGAATTATATGAATGGTGCTATCTCTGCATCAGAAAAGCATGAATTCAACTGCATGTCTAAAATACTGTTATTTTACATGTCAAGTGAGTTCAAAGCTCATAATATAGATTATTTAACTAAAGTCTTCAATGTGAATCCAATAAAGAAATTGTTTCCTTCTTGACCTTTTTATTTAAAAAAGGGGCATTTCAGACCAGCTTTCAAATATTACGAGGAAAGTAATGCTGAGCTTACTCTGAGAGAATAAATATATCATGCCACTCTCTTAATTTAACAATTGGACTATTAGAAAAATGTAGTCAATAACTTTTGTTTTTTTGGTTTGTTTTTATTTACACCTGCAGCTTTTGGTCCCGTTTGGGTCAGTATTGAAGCACAATCGGACTATAATGCACGTCAAACTAGAAGAAGCTGTTCTCAGCTCCAGTCCAACTCTGGTGTCCTACTATAATTATATATATATATATTACGGACATAAATTAACTTGTTGGTCGTCGGTGTTTGGGCCAGATGAGAATGTCATGGTGCATGTTAAAGAGCATTAATCTGCACCTTCTCCTGAATAAATATTGCTATTAATCGTCTCCTGTGTCAGTATGTTATTTTTAAGGTACGTTTATTTGTATAGCACAATTAACTATAAGTACAATTTATCTTGCTTTACATGAATTAAACAATAGAATAGAAGTTGGTGAAGCTTCTCAGTCATCCAGGTCATATTCATTCCAAAAAAGTTAAAAAATAATCCACTGTTTTCCAACTTTGAAGATGTTTCGCTTCCCATCCAGAAAACTTTCTCAATTTAAAATGTCTGGAGTAGCGTTGAGTTCTGGGCTTATAAAATTCCCCGAACAAAAGCCTTTTTATGGCTTAGAAAACATGCAAATTGAACTGAAAAACAGGTCCACCCCTTAGTAATGGGGAGTCGTTAGCGTCATTGTTGGCCTGGCTGACCAGGCGAGATGTTTTAGTCGCCTGCCTGGCGATGAGGATTGAGATGATAGCAGGAAGGAATCAACTCTATGGCTGCTTTGTAGGTTTTTGAGAGCTGAAACCTGAGTCCACTCCCTCTGTTTAAGTTTGTCTCTCAATGTAAACAGCTTCCTTCACACCCCTTTCAAACCACCCCGGAATAGAAGAAAAATAAAAGCGAGTGAAGATAAAAACATATATTACCTCAATTTTGTTTGGGGGAAAAAATCGTGATCTGTTATAAGCATGGCCAATGCTCTGATGGGTTCATACTCACCTGCAGCAGCACTTTGTTTTTAAACACTATCATTTGCCAGTAGTTTCTATATGCAAACCATATAGGAAAAAAAGGAAGAGCTCCTCATAACCGGTGTACCTCAGACTCCATTATGAAAGTTTAATCCATTTATCTCTGCTACTTTTTTGGTGGCAGAGCTTCCCGATTTAAACCGGTTGTAATGGAGACATGATGCTCTCCAAGAACTGTGGTGTTTGGTCCCAAGTGACAAAAAAAAATTTGCAAGTGCAACCATAGTAACTAAAAAAAATTTAACTTTTCTTTTTTCATTCTTTGATTTTTTCAAAGGTAAGCAGGCTGATTTAAACTCAGGTTTTACTTTTTTCTTCCATCACCTCTTACCGCTTCATGAAATGAGCAAAGGGCCTGACTACTGGTTAGTCAGAGAGACAAAAAGTTTTATGTCTAAAAAGTTATTCAAAAAAAAAAACTAAACATTTTTTTTAATTAATGGAGGTTTAGGCATTAATGCTCACAGCCCTATTATAAATGTAATCTTAACCCAAGTGTTGAACTGAAGTTATGGGTTTTGGACCATATAGAAAACTACAAAATATGATCTGTTATTCATTTAATTTTTATTTTTTAGGTATTTTGTGTTTAGTTACAGAGATCATTCATTAGAGATTAAAATCTAATACGATTGGTGAAATATTTAATCAATAATCAGTAATAAATCAGTGTTAGGATTTTAATTAGTAACAAATAACTTTAAATAAAACTTGCCCACATTCATGCTGTGGTTTTATGCTGTGCAACTAAATGAATGTAATCAGTATTACTGTTTATAGGTGTCCATCGAAGGTAGAATTGCAATACATTTGAATATTTAGTGTCTCATTAAGTATTTTTCCTGTTACTAGTTATTTCTGACTGCTGTGATATTTTTTTATTTCTCTTTTTTATATTGTTCTATATCCTTTGCAGAGTGATCTCAGGCCTATTGGGAAAAAGGTTCTTCCATCCGATATAAATAGTGGAAGAACTGAGAAGGTGAGTGTTATCCATGAGTGGTTGTAAACATATTCCCGCTATAATTTCTTTTTTTGTTTTACCTTTTCTGTTAAAGTTAAGTGTCTCAGACCATCAAATGTTAATGAGAGATATTACCAGAGGATATAAAAAATGCATTTTAAGTGGATGAAGAACATCCACCCTGTGTGGGAAAACCACGGTCCTTGTTAAATCACAAATGTACTTACCAGGTCTGTAGAATAATTTATCATTTGAGGAGAACCTGTTTGATAACACAAGGTAGGGAAAAATGTCTCACCGAGATTTCTTTGATCTTTCCCTGATCAAAAGAAATAAAAGAACAGAGTAGAAGCATTCATTGGCATCCCTCGTTGGTCGTCTCTAAAGTGATTTCTGAGACTCACTGAGGCACCAGCTAAGGATTGTCAAAACACGTGTTCCCATCCTTGTTTTATTAATACACATTAAGAAGTAAGGTATTAGTAGATGTTGGTCGAGACGGATAAATTTAAATCAAATTCCAAAACTTTGCAAAAAAGTTACTTTTTGCTTTCTTGAGTGTTGACTGTTCCAAAAAAAAGAGTATATGCATTATAGATAGAAACACATTTGTTAAATGAATTCAGTGAACATGCCTGCATTAGAATGACACTACTCTTGTGATGTCACCAAAAGTCACGTAACATCGCTAATACCAGCTGACATGAGAAAGTAAGCACAACTGATCTAATTTTAACACAATAATTTAAAACCTCACTCCATTACAGATCTATGGTCTGAGCTGGTTTGCTACCTTTACTTCCTGTTTATTACAGCCGAGTGTAACATCAACATACAAAGACATTATGCTTTGCATCATCTGGTCTATTCGCTCCTACTCAGATGGAAAAACATCTAATTATTATATTATAATTGTTGATATTCAAAAGGTTATAAGAATTGGATGGAAATGGTTCTAAAGCTTTTAATCACAATTTCTGAACACATGGAACAGTACTAAACCTTCCTGGAAGTGGATTTAGTTATATATTTTTTCCAGTAGAACAATGAGCATTTAATCTAGGAGTGAACACCTGGAGAAAGGGTCAAAAACCCAAAATATTGTGTGGTTTTATTTGTTTAAATCCAGGCCGGTGTTCATTATTTAATAAGTAGAAGAGAAAAAAAAAAGAAACTGGCAAAAATTACTGCTGACCAAAAATAACTCCAAGGTTCAATGTCCAAAATATATTTGGTGAAACTAGACTTTTAGGAAAATATGTTGTGTACCAATAAAAAAAGAAAAACGTAGAGCTGTTTAGAAGCTGTAAAATAACAGCAGTATTTAAAAAAAAAAAAATGCAAAAAAAATTGCATCATGCAATGTTTGTTCCAGAAAGTCGTTCTGAGTAAGAATAACCGGTCATTAAAGCATGCTTAGGTTATGCAGCAGGACAAAGAATGAAACTAAACCATCAAGCTCACCTTCAAAGAATAAAAATTAATAAATAACACTGTGGTCAAGTCAATGGCCAGATTTAAATCTCATTGAGATTGTCTGCAGTAACCATAGGTCGAACAATGATGCTCAAAAACCTTCCAGTGAAGCTGATGTAATACAATACTGGGAAAAGACATAAAAAAAAAAAATAGTGAGCCGAAATAACTCCACAGTTTGGGACGACTCAAACTATCTCTACCTTCAGATTGCAATTTGTTTTTCTACACACAGCCTGGTGATTTGGGGCAGATTTTTCTCCTTAGTTTCTTTTCATTTATTTTACCACAAATTATGCACAATTATGTATTCACTGTTTCTTAAATGATAAAAAAAAAGATTTATGCTTTATCTTTATACAGATATCATAAGTTTGAATTAAGTAGTTGTGGAGTTATGTGTTATATAGTTGGAGATGGAAAATAGGTAATGTAAAAAATGATAAACGATATGCTTTTAAAAAAATGTTTAAGGTAACAGTCTATATTCAACTTTTGTTTGACCTGAAACATTTAAGTCTAGCAAGTGAAACTTGTAGGAATTCAGCACTCTGACGTCCTCTTTACTGCAAAATGATGATGCACTAAAAACACTTATGGTTTCTAGAAGCACAACTGTTTTCTGTTGTCCATATTGCAATTCTCAAAACCTCCACTAGATGGTGCTCACAGACCAGCGTTTAAAAATTTCTATTTTTTTTTATCTTTTATCATTTTTTTTGGCTGTGATGCTGCTTTCGAGTTATTGTGAAATAATGTTCCAGCCACTAAAACAAACGTCCTGTTGTGAGCTTAGCTCTCCTCCTGTCTAAAAACCAAAATGCTGACTAAATCCAAATGTTCTCTGTGAAGCAGTTAGGGGAATAAACAAACCTGTGCTGTCATTGGCTTACAGAGGCGGAAATATTTACCCATGTCAATTTAGTTTTTTTATTATTGATTCTGAGAGTATCCTTCACTGCAATTAGTGGATATTATTCTTGCACCTGCTGCCAGTTTACCCCTCAAGCTAATTTAGCTTTCCTTTTTTTTTATTGTTTTTTTATTTTATTTCCTAAATGGACAGTTTGAGGGTCCATGTGTCCTCCAGCTGCAGAAGGTGAGAAACGTCTCGGCTCCCAAAGACCATGAGGAGTCCCAAGGTGCTCCGAGAATGCTGCGCCTCCAAATGACAGATGGGCACACCACCTGTGTTGGACTGGAGCTGAAACATCTGTCCAAAATCAGGTAGGCTTCTTTGTTTTCATAAGCAGATGCAGTTTAGCTTAATTGTTTGGGAAGTTTATACTGATTCATATTCCCCTCAGGAGAGTTTTCAAACTATTTTTTAATCTTGTTTTTACATTTTCTTTCTTTCTCTCTCTTTCTCTGTTACTCTTTGTAACTGAATCTCAGAGGCTGTGGATAAAATGTTGCACCTTAGTGCACCTTTGTGCAAAAAAATCGACACGAAAGGCTGCTTGAAAATACACCAAGTAATTGTAAATTTACGGAAGCAAGTTGGGAACACAAAGATCCTATGTAAGATCCTATGGGTTACAAACGAGTCAAATGCTGTGCATTTTGTTAAACAAATAGATTTTTTTTATTTCATCTCTCCAGAAGGGCATTGGTGATTGTTGTGGGGAATGCAGGGGATATGAAGCCAAGCGCTTCTACATTTATTGAGGCTGCCAAGTCATTAATCAGTATTGATCTTAAATTAACGAACATGTACAGGTATTCTCTGTTGTGAGTCCTTTGGCCTTTGCAACCAATTCTTTGGGAAAAATACAAGTGGATCAGAGGAGGAAAAGACAAGAAACTTTTCTATATTTTATTGGCTGCAAGTAACAAGGCCTTCACCTGGGAATGGCCCAAAGCAGAATCACCAATAATAGAAGACTGGATAGACATTGTGCAAGAGATCCACAGAATGGAAAAGCTGTCCTACTCATTTAGTGTAGAGAGGCAGTTCCTTCAGGACAGTGTTAAACCAGTAAGGTTGGATTTTTTCTGTTGACCCTTTTTGCTTTATGTTAATATTAATGCTCTGATTAAAATAAATCATTAAAAATCCACCCTTTGCCTTAGTTGTATTATTCAGTTTTTAACCAAAGTTCAAACTTGAAAAGCATAACAATTGTACGAATTTCTTTTGTTGTGCGGAAGAGTTCTTAAGAAAATACACAAAGTGGTAAAAAAAAAAATGAAAAATAGATATAAAAAAAAGGAAAAGGATTTTGATTTAGCAAAAATGTGTGTAGATTGATCTCCACATGTTTAGCCACTTCCTCTTATATTTAGCCCATGTGTAAGGTTTCTCTTCTCACTCTCCTTTCGCCTCCTTGTCAACACTTTCAACCCTCACCACATACGTCAATTTCTCCTTTATCTGCAACTCCATGCGGCGCCACCTGATTTAACAACTCGCAGCCTTAATTACATCTCCATCCAAGCAACGGTGGCCTTGGTGATTGCTGCCATGGTGACTAGCCAGTCTGTACAGGTGGAGTGGCCAGAATGTAGTCCGTGACTTCCTGATGGGAAGAGAGGAGAGAACAGAACAAATCCCCTCTTTATGAGCCCCACACACACACACACACACACACGGACAGCTGACAGCGGCGCTTAATGTTTCTGATGAAAGTGTCCGCTTTAGTGCGAAGGAGCCCTTAAGTGGATGGAAAAGAATGATGAGATGGATTACAGGACTGTTCACTGTGTGAGGCAGTGATATGAAGGCAGCACAATTAAACATTAAATGGCAACTATACAGGTTGAATAGTGTGTTTTTGATTGAATCGGGGATACACTGCTTCTTATTTCTACATTACCATGACATGAGAGCACCATCTATCCCAGAGGTTTGGAGTGAGATCCCTAATTGTTCCTTTGGCTTCCAGCATCAGTAGCTGGAAATCCCACTAAGTCCCTGTGCTTTCCTAATGAGAGAGGCAGAGGCCTTATCAGGCCTGATGAGATAGAGGCGCTTTTAATTTACCATGAGGATGGGTGAGCAGCTGGGATTATTAATAGTCTCTCTTAGCTTTACCACCCATCTGCTGGCACTGCTCCATGTCATTTAGAGAGTGATAAGGCAATAGGGTGTTAGAGCTGCTAGATACAGTTCAAATGTGCTAAACCCTTGAAATCTGAGCTGTGGGCTGAAAATAATCATTCATGGCTGTTTATTTATTTGATTTGTTTATAACAAATGTCTTCTCTATGCCTTTCAGCCTGAATACACCCCCTGGGACGAAGGTGAAGCTTGTTGGTACAATTCAAGTTAAAAACGGTATTTTGCTGCTCGACGACTCAAACATTCACGTCCTTGGGGGAGAGGTGGATCACATGGTGGAGAAATGGGAGCTACAAAGGGTGAGGGTCAATCTGAGTTTGAATTATTACACTTTTAGTTGTTTAAAAACAATACAAAAGCTACCTCTGTTTGCCTCTATAGTTCTGCCCGGTTTATTGCTTGTCTTTTGGTTCTCTGTTTATCCTTCAACCTGCAGAGTTTGGCCAAACACAGCAGGAGTAACATTGGAGCAGAAGGTGGACCTCCACCCTTCGTGCCATTTGGTCAGGTGAGAGGAAGAGCAAATTACAAGACTGCATTTTTAGACAAATCATACTTTGCACAGGAGGTTTAATGCTGATGTCAAAAACTAAATAGCTGGATATAGAATATAGATCTGTTTAGAATAACCATGCTTAGAAAAATAAAACTAAAAGATCTGATGATAACTAAAAATGTAAAGAGATAAGAGTTAGTTTCTCTGATAAAGTGTGTTTTCTGAACAAACATGCTGACATCATTGATTCTTTGGCTCCTGGCTGTTGTTCTGCTGTCAGGAATCTGGGGTTTGTATTTGACAGCTCCTTGACACAAGAGAAGCAGATAAATGCAGGTTTTTCTGTCTGCTTAGAACTATTGGCAAAGTAAACTTATTCCTTAGACAGTTTAGTCTTTTTACTTCCTGCCTGTACTTCCCTGAGGGTCTTTATGTTGATCTATATCAGGGGTGTCCAGCTCCATTCATTAATGGACGCTCTCCTGCATGTTTTGAATGCTTCCTTTTTTCAGAAAAACTTATATCTGTTGATGGCTGATTAAGAGCATTTTTCTGCTGAAAAACCGAGGTGTTAAAGTACAAAAACATCTAGATCTGGCAGGACACCAGAGATTTGAGTCCCTTAGTCCCTTAACTGGAACTAAGTTTTTTTTTTTTTTTTTTACACATTAATTTATTCACGTTCTGTCTGTTTTTGGACTGGTTTGGATTTTTTATTGAATATGAGAGGAGAACAATCATACAGCACTAAGGGAATTTCCTGAAAGCCACACAACCGGATTCTGAAATGAACCTTTTGACTCACCTGCCAAGTGGAGCGGAACACAAAATTATTCACTAAGGCATTATGTTAAATGCGCACAAAGTTGCAGTAAAGTAGTTTTATTAAGGTTGTAAAGTTTAAAATACTTTTATCTGATAGAATGACCATAAAAAGAAAAAAACTTTATGGAGTCTATCAGTAAAAGCTTAGCCTTTCTTCCAGTGGCAGCGGCAGTGCAAAACTGTATCTTCATCTTTGTGTTGTTATAGCATCAGTGTGCTATCAGTTGCTGTTCCATGGGTTGTTTAGATTCAGCCTGAGAGATGGACATCCAGTGAATGTGGCATTAACTGTCTAGACTGACAGCCAGCGATAAATTAATCGTGTTTGTTCTCTTTTGCATATTTGGTGCACACAGAGCAGCTCATTAGCTTAGCATCCTTATAAAGAAGCCTTTCTCTTTCAAAACACAGGCTACCTGATAGCGGCATTTTTCAATAAACTTTCTCTTCCCCCTGAGGGTTGTAGATCCTTGCTCCTCCTGCTCCTCATCGTCACATTGCCTTTAAGAAGGCTCGGTTGCTCCAACTATATACTGCTACAGTTTGCCTAGCGGCGCAGTTGTTAAATGATGGGCTCTCTGTATGCGTGTCCGTCCTTTGACGTGTGAGGAACAGCAGCAGAGGAAGAAAGAGACAGAGGGGAGGCTTACCAAAATAAAAGATCAAAAGACGTGACTGAAGTGCAGCTGTGGTCCAAACATTTACTCGCCTTGTGGCGAATGGAGCTGTGGCACTAACTCACCAAATGAAAAAAAACTAGACACTAGTTAGGGTTCATTTCAGACTCTGCACCCAACTGTTAAAAGACCGGCCATTATCTCTTAACCGTCCAATAATCTGTTCTAAAGCAAAGCATGAGGCCCCCATGGAGAGTATTATAATTTTCTGTTTTATTGTTTTATCCATTGTCTCTCCTGTCTTTAAAGCACTTTAGTAACTATTTTGTTCTTAAATGCTTCTGCTCTACGAATTAGCTTGATGTTGACAAACCCATGTCTAACCTTTCTGCTGTGACTGATGAACTTTTAGGATCTTTTAAAACAGTTGTTTCTCTTTGAATCATTAAAATCCTGGGCTGATTTTTCAGAAATCTGCTCGGGTGTAGAAGAACTAGCCTAAGTATAAATAATGTAGCCTTAGCCTCATCTCTAGCCTTGAAGTGCTGCTTGAATTCATTCAGGTTTTAGCTGAAATGTAGAAATTTTAAAATATTAAAGTGCACTGGTTCTTTATTGAGGACCTTTGCAATACATAAGAAGATCTGATCATTTTCATTTTAAAATTACATTTTCATTGATAAGATACAGTTTCAAAGCAACGTAGTAGAAATTCCTTCTTTTTCTGTGCACTTCCACCAGAATAGGTATCACTAATCTGATTGTATGGGTCCTATTTTAGAGTGAAACATTTATTTAGTTTATTTAGTTTTTTTCCCAGTACTTTATGCTCCAAAGATGGCTTTAGGGTTTTAACTTGCAAATGGAACCCCCTGTGTTTATTTAAGGGTACATTACATTCTATTTGTTCTTTAATATGTGTATCATGTGTTCTTATCCTCGTCACAGAGGTGTGGAAGAAAGGATGATATCGACAGCAGAGAACTCGACCAGAGAAAAACCCTGCAGACTCAGAATGTGATCAAAACCGCAGATGAGAATGATGAGTTTGAAAAGCAGCGGACGGCAGCTATAGCTGAAGTTTCCAAGGCCAAAGAGGTAATTACAGCTGTAACCAGGGCTCATTGGCGTCTTTTTGAAAAGGCATGTTGTTATTCTCTCACTTAACTGATAATGAACACTTTTCTGCCTTTCTCCATTGTTTTTCATATTCTAACAAATCACACTGTGTAACATATTGATTGCAGTTTTTCCATAGGCTGTTAAATTTGCTCCGCGTGTAAATTACATGAAGCTTATTGACATTTAGGTTAACCTGAATTATTTCTGCAACTCTTTGAATTCAAAAGCATAATTGCAATATTAGCTACAAACCTGAATGTTTTCTTGGTTTTCTCCAACCCTGCTGCTCCTTTGTCTTTATTGTTTTTTTGTTTTTAATTCTTGTTCCACTCCTCAGGGCCCTCGCACATTTGGTGGTGGAGGAAATGCAGGGAGTAATTTATCCACTGCAGCATCCTTCTCTCGAAGCAGAGACTCTTACCAGCAGAGGAGGAGAGAAGAAAAGGCAGAAAGAACAGAAAGCCGAGCAGATGGAAACTATAGAGAGCTGGTGAGAAGATGATTATAATTCCAGCTAATGCTGAGATGTTCTTTAAGAAACAATCCTTTTAACATATATTGATCATTTTGAGGAGCTTTTTTTTTCCTTGGAAACCTGGTTTGTGTTTCATTTTGGATCTTTGATCTTGATTGAGTTTCTATTTTATTGTTCCAGAGGCTCGGTAAGACATTGATTAGGATATTGAAAAAATGCAAATGAAGCCGAGTTAAATGAACTCGCATGGCGGTCAATTTATCTTGGTTTGTTTCATGTTCTAGCTGCTTGTAGTTACACAACTTTGGCTTTAATAGAACTTAGAGCAGAGAAAGGGATGATTAGGATTTGCCCCAAAACATGTTTAAAGATGGTTTAAAACTTAAAACCTCAACTAAACACAAGTTTAGGCTTTTTACTGACATATCTCAAAGTTTTTACAAATTCTTTCTATTTGCTTTCTTTATGCTGTATATACAGTATAGATTTATTCTGCCTCTCGTCTCTCTGGTGTTTAGGTGGATGAACGTGCTCTGAGAGACATCATGGAGATGGGCTTTAACAGGGAGGCTGCCCGACAAGCTCTGATGGATAATAATAACAACCTTGAAGTAGCACTAAACAGCCTTCTGACCGGATCTTCCGGTGGCAGACCTGGCTCAGCGGTCCCTGAACCTAACAGGACACAACCCAGAGGTTCATAAAATACACACACACTCACACATACCAGCACACGCAGATAATTTTCCGTGCCCTGCAGTGTATTTTGGATCTCCAAACTTGGCAGGGGTTAGGAAAAGGTTGGGTAGCAACGTGGCCGTCCCTGAAATGCACTGAAAATCACCAGCAGCCTAATTAGCAGTCCCAAGGGCTGCGCTGCGGCTTTTAGTTCGTTTATCAAGAACAGCATGCACTCTGTAAGACGGGCTTTCTGCCCCCAGCGCACGATAAGGTTTCAGTTAGATGTTGTTTTACTTCAGTTATGCTGTACAAGTTTTTTCCTAACAGAAAATCATACTTTAGCAACTTGAAACTCACTTAATCCTATTGAGTTCTTTATTTTTTGTACATAAATCACACTTGGTCCTGAGGGCCTCTCCCTCTTAGCTAAAGTACAACGCCTGTTTAAGATGGGCTAAGATTTATAATGAACACAAAACACATATTAACATGCTTGGAGAAATAAATACATTTCTGATGCTTTTCAAATGTCCTACATAGAGAAATGAGCATGAACCGAAACACAGAATGCATTAAAACATGAGCTTCAGATTAACAGTGCAGACATCTAATCGCCTCATTTGTTTTCCTTTTTGCAGTTTTATAAGGAAATATTTTGGTGATGAAGATGAGGAGCAAATTCAGATAATGAACTTCTTTATATTGATGCATCTCATTAAATACTAATATAATTCATTCTGGGTGATGTATTTAAAGGATATCAGGTAATTTTGTTAATTGTGGTTTACAGTTATAGAAAGACCAAAGTTGAGTTTGCTAACCAAGGTTATTGATAATAGGATCGATAAATCAGATGTCCATTTTATTCTGTTTGATTAGAAATGAAATGAGCATCTCAATAAAAGGGAAGCATGATGTGATATAGGATTTCCCTGAAAATGGGTGAGCTGACTTGGCTTTGAACCTGGATCAGGAGGCATGACTCCACAAATCTCCGACTGTAGAAGCTGTACTTCTGTCCCTCTTCCATGTTTCCCAGACTCCATGCCAGGGGTGTCAAAACTCAAGTGCGCGAGGGCAGATCTCCTGAAACTTTTCAACATGTCCCTGGTCCAACACG